AACAGAAAATCAGTTTTTTACAGCTAACATTTCTGTTGCTTTTCTTGATGCCCTTTTCTTTCTATGTAGAAGATTCACTGCTGATCTGCATGGAGCATCAGCAACATCTCCACAGTGGAATTGAGCCTGCAGGATGCCGGGTGATCCCTGCGGTCTTCTGTTCTATCCCCAAACCTGCTGGGATCTGTGTCCTGTGGATGCTTAGCACTGGATCTGGAAAGGCACAGTCAGACAAGGAAATAGGACCTACTCCTAGTACGTGGTACCTCTTTTTCTGAACACCCACTAAGTGAATGGCTTAGTTTGCTCTCATGCACACTAACTAGTGGGAATCCATAGAAAAGCAGTGAGGCTGCTCCTCAGCAGCCTTTGTGGAGGGTGATGGAGGGCAGAGCACAATCTAGTGCCAGTTCTCCATGCTCATGAAGCCGGCCCCATTTGGAAGAGTTCATGGGGGAAAGCCATAATATGGAGAAGAGGCAAGACATAGTGCAAAACATGCCATTGACAGGTTCTCCTCCTCCCCTCGAGACGTTTCACCTGAAAAAAGAGAAGTACCAGCTGGAGTTATAAATGACTCCAGCTCCTAATTGCCAAATGCTTCCCCTCTCCCCTTCGTATCTGTTACAGATGCATCATCCACATATGAACATTTCCTGGAATTTGGTTCCAGAGATTTGAGCCTGTGAAGATTTGGGGCCAGACTTACTCAACTGGAACTCCCAGGCAGCAGAAATTGCTTCTCTGTTTAAATCAAGAGGCTTATCAGAGAATGCTAAATGATTTTTTTACAGCTGAAAGTCAAAAGATCTGAGCAGTCTTCTCCTTGCTATTTGCTGCATAGCTTTCAAATTAAAAATAAAAAAAAAATACCCAAAACCAACAAAAAAAAACCAACCCACTCTTTCCAGTCCCCCAGGAAGAGACAGCCAAGTCTGTTCCTGTCACCACCCTTCTAATTACTGGAAAGACCCCACTTGGCTGGAGAGATCAATGCAGGATTGTTTTACACCAGCCCAGATATTTTGCCTGCTTAAGCAGAATCTAAAAGAGTAATAGAGTGATCCGTTAGCCAATCAAAGAACATTCAATCAAGCAGTGCTCTGCATTTATCCAGCATTTTTTTATGAGCAGCAATTAGGCATTCATTGATTACAAGCATTAATTAGGTTTAATCACATGCCTGCAAATGAGGTGTTATGAAAACATGGAAACGAACGCTGTGTTTTAAAACGGGTTTTGGTGGTGAAGAAGGACATAGGCATCTCATGGGATTCTCAGGAGCCCCTCACGCACAAAATCCATAAAGAGAAGGTACTCATCACCCCGCAAGAATCAGGCACCGCTGCTCCATTCCAGGCAGGGCTGTCAGACATTAAAGCCTCTGAGTTTGTTTTTTGCTGAATTCCCAACCACTACTCCGTATTACTCCATTATAATGAAAGAGAGCGCAACAGGGGAGAACAGGCAAGTGAGCCGGAGGCCTGGCAGCGCTGAGATCAGTGGCGCAGCTGCCCCAGCCAAGGACCACACACTGAATGGGGAAGTGTCAGGGTCAGGAGTAACTCAAAGCAGTTACAGAGTTTGCCAGGCTCTGTAGGGTTACCTGATGTGATTTTCCTGTCATTTTTAATCCAAGGGTTGGGTTTTTCCCATCTTTTTTTTTGTTTTTCCCCGAAGGTAATTTAATTTACACGTATGCTTAAATTTATTTCATAGCTTTTAGCTAAAGGCGAGGTCACTGAGTTGTGCCTTAGGCTGAGTAGTAGTTTACAAAAGCTCTGCTAGCAACTCTACCTGCCTGTGCTTTCTGTACCTACTGGGTTGGTATTTGATGCAAGCGTAGCACAAACATAAGACAATATCAAAATACATAAAAGGGTTTTTCTCTCCCAAGCCTGGTCCAGCTTTTCACAACCTCAACCTTCTTGTTTTTCACACTCCTCCATTCCACTCCAATTTCCATTGTTTTATCTCACCCAGTTTTTTCTGTCCCTTCCCTCAGCAGGACACACAGAAAAAAAAACCCAACAGGCAAAGCCTTCATTTTGCAGTGTTGCAAAATTGGGTGGGTTCATAGAAAAACATCAAAAAAATAAACCCCAAAAAGGAAACTCAATCCTTTCTCCCAGCACCCGTGGCTTGATTCCAGGGCTGAGAGAAGATTGCAAGATTGCATTCGCAAGGGCTAGCATGAACACCTGGCTGCAGGGCTGCAGGGCTGCCAGATTGCTCCCAGGGAAGAGCATCGATCAGGAGTGGAGCCTGGATCCTCCACACATCATGCGCACACACAGCTTTATGCACTTGGACAGTGTCATTGGTGTCCCTACGCCTACTCTTCCACTCATTAGAAGGGTGAGGAGGTGGGGATACCCAACGTGGTTGCATAAGTAAAATCAGTAGGCATGTAAACCCAGAAACAGCACAATACAGATCACATTCCTGTCCCCGTCTGGCCTGCTCCACCCTCCCTCCATGGATGGGGGTGGAAAGTCAATGGTCCAACTGACACTTGCTCAAAGGCATTCAAAATGGTTTGCGCACAGCATAACTTACATGCCTTGCTTCTTTTGCATGATGCAGCAATCCTTTTGGCACGCAGATGGGAAAGCTCGCAGCCCTAATGTCAGTGCTTGCTGCGTATTCCAAAAGGCCTACTTAAAAGAATATTGCTTTGGCCTTGACTTCTTCCTCGCCAGCATAAATGAGGAGGAAGGTCGGGGGTGTACCACCACTGTAGACCAGAACATACGGCCCAATATGCGGTGGGAAGGCAATCCCTCAACGGGGGTGATAATGATTATGATGGGGTATATCACAATTAGGATACCGGAAACGGAGCCTTTCAGCAGAGAGGGTGCTGCATTAGCTTCAGCATTAAAGTGGTTGCAGTATATGACAGTAATTTAAGAGGGAAGGGAAATCTGGGCACCAAATGGTATGGCAAAGGACCTTTTAAAGCCTGTGAGCTGTGATGATGTGCAAATGGCAGAACACAGATACTGACATCCTTGTAATGCTTCAAGGAGGCCCAAACCATAATAGTTCCAGATAAACTGCTGACCTATTAATCCTGGAGGTGGTCCCACCCTGGACTCATGGGTAAGGCGATGGGCAAAGCAGATAACAGAAGACCTTGTCAATGCTGCTACTATTGCTCAATGGATGAAATGTTTGGGAAATGCATGCTGTTTCTTGGCATGGTAAGTAGGGTGGCAGCATCTGAGTCTCCTCTTTCTTCTGTCAGTGTTTAATGACTCCACAGGTCTCAGTGGATTTGCCTCCATGTAAAACTGGCACATCAGCAAGCCAAATCAGGCCTCAACATCTGTAAAGCTGGATAGGTTCACAAGGATTTAATTCCCTCTAAAGTATGTACAAATCACATGGGATGACACTGCCTAATTCCCCACATTTCTACATAGCACGGTATTGTCACTATTCACTGGGAAAGAATTTCATATTTGCATTTTCCCAAATGCAGTAATACTGACATTGCTCATCTTCTAACACTCATTACACTAACTTTGGCAAAGAAGGCCCAGTTTTTCCTTATGGCATTATACTTTTTATGAGGCTCCTAGCCCTGGTTCTGTCACCTCAGTGGAGAGTAATTGCACCTAACCGTATGCACTTAACAATCTGAAATAAAAGCAAACAGGGTTTTGCCTATAGAAATCTTAAAGCTGCAGGCCAAACTGAAGTTATACCTGCAAATGCCTATTGGTAAATGCCACCAAGTAAAACATGATTTGAGAGCAGATCATCGTTCAATGGATGCCTGAGTTACTGACTCCACCACCAGCTCCAAAGCCTGGAGTAACTCAGAGCCACTGGGGACCAGGACTTCTTGTATTGGGTGCAGTACTAGTAATCTGGCTTTTCTTTCAAGAGTCACACTAGTCTTAACCATACTGATCCACGCTGAGCAGAGGTACCCCCACAGCTGTCTGCACCGTGTGCCACTAAGGGCATTAGGTCTTGCTCTGAGGGTACAAGCCTGTTTTTCCCCTTGAAGAGACAAATACATTTGTAGTGTTTAACTTAGAAAGATGTGTGTCCAGGCAGCCTCAGGAGAGGAGGGGTTGTGCAGGAAGTGGGATAAACCTTTGCTTTTTACTTTGATGACAAACTAACTCAAATGCAAGAATAGTGTCACATTTTAAATGCCTTAGGGTGTCCTTATACGTGCCAGCAGAGGGCATATCCCAGCCCAAGCCAATGCCTGAGGTTCTGCCAGGTACCCCAGAAGTGCCACAAGCCCATGCTAAGTCTACTTACATGGATTTCGCCCTGTAAAGGCATTACTTAGGTGTTGAAGAAACAAGTGGGTTACATGCACTACAATCAGATCATTTCCGGGCAGGTGCATCTGTGATTGAAGGACCTGACCCTGCACTATTGGGTCCTCTATCAGTTCTCTGTCCCCTAATGAGGCTTTTCCCACCCAGGAGGGCTGGTCTCAGCATTTAACCTGAAGGAGAACTTTAGGTTTCTTCTAACACAGAGCCTTCAACCTGTTGGCACAGGCAGTGGCAGAGTAATCTCTTCCTGTCTGGAAACCCAGTGAGGGGGCATAATGCCACGTGGAGGCACAGGATAGCATATGCTATCCTGTCAGATAGCGTATGTGCAATGCTATCAACCCAGCCTGTGTAAAGGCAACATCTACAGCAAAAAATTCTGTACAAACATGCTTGTGTAAGAAACCAGACCTCCAGGCCCATGTTTGCCACAGCGAGCTGGGGCCACTGTTTCATTTCACTCAGGAGTAAAGGCTGTTCTGGTCTGGAGAAGGGTCATTCCCAACCATCAGGAGCAGTAGAGGAGGGAAAGTTGGCTGCAGTTTCTGCTCTGGGTCTAGCTCCCAGGAGCTGTGCAGATCCTGTACCATTAAACAAAGCTAAGCTTATGAGCTACACTTGTGTTGCTATTGTCTTTGCTGCTGTTTTTGTTGTTAATACCTTGGCTGCTGCTATTATGTCTGGTGTTTTTAGTGTGGGAGCCAAGAAAACAGCATTAACTGAACAACCTCAAGACAGCAGAAGTTGCCAGGTTGAGAAACCCTCTGATGCTGGGAAATAAAGCAAGCGTCTCTCCACACTTCAAGGCTGTGACCTGTGCTGGCTTTCAACCATGGAAGCCCACACAGCCCTGTGGCTGAGGGAGGACCATGGTAAGTACAAGTGTTAACGGTGGGTACTCGGGTTGGATCATGCTGTTTTGTGAACGGCACCTGCTGAAGGTGAGAGCATAGGCATTGGGCAAGCACACTACTGGAAAATACATAGCCCCTGGAACAGGGGGGAAACAGTCAGTGTATTGGGGATTTTTTTAATTGCCCTGAATTATTTGCAGTATCAGTGGTTTCCTGTGACATCAAGCTTCTGAACATTGCCTGATTGCCATCAACTGCGGTCCATCCAATTTTCCATTCCCGGCTACGCCCAAGCCACAGCTCATCTGAAAAGCTGCTTCTGCAGAAGACATGTACCAGCTGGCAGCCAAGTAACTGATAGATGGGGGTGACACAGAGGCACCTGGTACAGGGCACTCAGCACTGGCATGGATGGGTTCATGTGACTTCTTCCATTGAATTTCAAGAGAAATGATGGTAAAACAGCTAATGAGTCAAAGAGAGGAAGTGAGAGCAGAGGCTAACTAAGAGTGTGTGAAAGAGAGAGCTCTGTGGACTGCTCTGCCTGTGCCAAGAGCTGGGGAGAGTTTCTGTCAGCTGGTTAGGAAAGTCGAGCAGCTGGAGAGTGAACTACTGTCTTCCCTGTGTGCCTGTGTATCCGCAAGCACCACTGCCCTCTTTTGGGTGGAATTAGACCTGTGCATCTGCTTCATCCACCAGCATACGCTCCTGCATCGCCTGAGTACATGGAAGAGGGACCACTCCTGCAGGGATGCTGACAGTGATCCTCCAGTGGGGAGAGGTGAGCAGTGCGATGCCAATGGAGAGAGGCTGTTCTCAGCAGTGGTGCTGATTAACAGCACTGCGGCCATGGCATTGCAGATGTGGCATGATCTGTGCCAGCTGTGGTGAGCTCCTCAGACAGGCTCCAGCTCCTTGGGTGAGCTGTGCCACTGAAGCCACAGTTCCTTCAGGCAAGGCTTTTCCTTATCTCCGACACTGCTCTGTCCCATCATCTGCTGTGCAAGAGAAACAGAATAGCTGAGCAGCCTTTGGCTCCAGCATCACTGCAGGCAGGTAATCATTTCAGGTGTTGCATAGCGGTGCCAAGTTCTGCTGAAAACAGTACATCCGAGACCTTCACCATGAAGGTGTCGAAAGTTGTTACACTGGGGCAAGGAGCACCTTGAGCTGAGCTTTCCTCCTTTGTCCAAGGGCAGTGCTGGAGGGCTCCTCTGCAGCTGCAGGGGCTGTTGATAGCAGAGGTATAGACTCAGGATATGGGGCGACCTACTGGTTCAACATATTTGATGGCCTGTGTCCAGCAACAGTCAGATACTGGAGGAAACATAGTGATGCTATTTGTCTCAAACAAGAGAACGCATCCCTTTGAGAGCCAGCTTATGCCCCCAGACGTATCTGATTACACTTAATTCAGCTTCCACATCTACAAAACTTTATTGTGCCCAGTCACAGTCTGACGAAGTCCTTACAGTGACCTAGCCATAAAATTTGACTTGATGAGTGACACTTTTTATAAGACCAACTGTTTCATTATGAAACTTTTGAGGTTGGAAAAAAAAAAGTCCCAAACAAATAAGAACATGCCACTATTAATAAGGCCGTCGGTGCATTTTTATGTATCCTTGTAGCAATTGTGGCTGCGTGTAAAAGGCAAGCATGCCTTGTGATCGTGAGAGAGTGGCTAAAAACCATGAGTCACACAGTCGAACCTTGTGACTTGGTAGAGCTAAGGAGGTCTCCTTAAAGCAATTTGTGGAAGAATTGGAGAGAAACGCAATTTTTCAAGGTCAGCCAAAGGCTAATGAGCACTCTTTCATAGTGCGATTATATTGCCTGAATTTCTGTATTTCAAAGCCAGTCTAACTACTTTATTGCTGAAGCACTGTAACTGAAGAGGCTGCAATAATATTGACAAGTAATCCTGCCAGAATCTGAGATGGTATTCAGCATAATGTGAAACATTTTCTCCTTGCCTGGATGAGTACGGAACAAAGAGTTAACCAAATGTGTGGTTCCCCTGAGTACCACTTATCTTTCTTCCCAAAGGGCATGTGTACAGATGCTTTGTAAGTTGGGTTGTCAACAGCTGAGGCTTGTGGCCAGATTCACATGTTCTCCACCTTTCTGCTTGTGAGCTGCAGGAGACTCATCTCCAGAGGGACAGTTTTTCATAACTTAATTAGATTGGCGCCATTCGCACAGCTACAGTTTCAGGTTGGCTCAGCTTTACTTCTGCTCCAGCTCTCCAGTTCAGGGGATTACAGTAGCACTGAAATTGGTTCTGAACTAAACGTTTGGCAACTGCCTTGGGTCAAAGAGGCAATTTCTATTACTGCTGTTGCTAAATTAGAAAGAAATAAATAATCAATGTGTGGCCTTTAATGGGGGACTAAGAATGAGAGACAAAATGTTTTTGCAGCTCTCCGCTCTGTGTGTACATAGGAATACATTGCTTTTTTTTTTCCCCATGAATGACCATTTCTAGTCCAGTAAACCACTTTAGTTGAAGGAGAGCAATCTCCAATTGCAATCTCTTAGCATGGATTTACACTATGCTTATTTCAGTGTAGCTCTAATTGGCTGGGAATCTGGATGGGCTAAGCAAAAATCAGCCAAAGAAGAAGTGTTCCCACTGGAGTTTTCTGTGGTTTAGCTCAACCAGTATAGAAATGGATCAGAGTAAAATCAGGGAGATTTTAGCATGGAGACAAAGCCATTCACCTTTAGCTGCATACTTCATACTAGTAAAGTGCAACTCAAGAAAAGGAGATTTACAAGCAGTGAGTGTGGACTGGAGGAAAGGAATGATCAGGGCCACCTTTCCAAGCACTACACGTAAAACGGGCGCCTCCTGACTGCGATGTGCAGGTGTTCATTACAGAAAACAATCTACAACTTGGAGTATCTGGGCTCACTTCCACTCCATGTGAGCCACAGACACCCAAGCTCCTCAGTGTGGCTCATACTCTGTGTGGCCCGCTAAGGTTTTCAGGCTTTACCTGGGCAGTCAGTAGCTGGGAAGCTGCCCTCTTGTGACTCCTTCACCAGCCTCAGTGATGGATTGCAAATCCCTAGCAAGCAGTTTTGAAGAAGTCACCTGGTAAATGGCACTTTAACAGGAGGAATAAATTAAAAGGCATCTGGCAAACAATCTAAAGGAAGAAATACAGGTGTTTGCAGAGGTGGACAAAAATGACCATTCCTGGTGGAGAGCTAATAAGAGAAAAAAATAACATGTATTTTTGCTTCACTTCTGAAAGCAAAAGAAAACACAGACAAATCCGCAGTCCATTTTTGACCTGGTACAAGTACCTGCAAGTAGACCTTGCTGTGTTCAACTCAAGATTTTTGGTGCAAAAATTCTCTCTGCTACAGTGATTAGAAGACTCTTTACTGTGGGTACTGATAGCTTTAGGACTTTTCACTTTATCTATGATATGAGCCATTTGTGAGCTGTAAAGAAACTGGGAGTTGGTTAGTTTAGTTGCCTGTCTGTAATACTGAACAAGTACTTTATAAATGTATTCAACCCTGTGCTTTTTTGTCACCTGTGTGGGGCAAGTGCTCTATTCAGGGTCTGAATTTTATAGGTCATTGCTGGATCTGCACATATGCATCATTTGCACCGGTGCCTGACTCCTAACCCTAAGAGAGAACCTATTGCACTGATTTGTCCATAGGGGATAGGTAGGACTTTTGTGCTACCCAATCCCTTACCTGGCACACACCTTGTCTCTCTGGAATTCCTCTGTAATGGTGGCAGGGGAAGAGTGGAAGAGAGATGGGTGCTTTCAGAAGGCAATTCAAAGCAGATGCTTAATTTGGGTGCACTGAATCATCCCCTGCAGGAGTTTTTATCTTTCTCCATGGACCAGGGAGAGGTTAAAGAGACTGGCTGAGTGACTCAGCTGACTGCAGTTGGTGGTGAGAAATCTCTCCTCACCAAAGCCAATGAAAACATCAGGAAACAGAGCCATCCACTACCTCTTTAAGTAATTTATTCACCCTCACTCCTAACACTTTGTGCCAGCTCTCTCATTTGGTCTGGTTTGAGTTCTCCTCCTTGAACTCTTGTGATGGCTTTCTCTGCTACCTGGAGAAAGATTTAGCAGGGACTGTTTCCATCCTTCACACAGAAATCAAGGTGCCTCTGAATCTCCTTTGTGATGACAGGAATAAACTCCTCTCTGAAAGTTTCTCACTCAGATGCAGTTTTGCCATTTATTGTGTGGCTTTTTGGCAGATTTTTAACACTCCCTTGGCAGTCACAGCTTGCAGCCACAGCCAGCGGTCCAGGGCCAGAGAGCAAGGCTGCAGTGCCCCTTTTTGCCTCCACCCCCTTTCTCCTCCATCCCACATCCCGCTCCCAGCCGAGGTCAGAGGGATATGGCCCTGGGGTTCTCTGCTTACCAACAGCCCAACCATGCATTACAGACCGGTATTGCTCTTTGCAGGAAGGCTTGGCACAGCTCTCAGGCAGAAGACGACGCTGCTGAATTTAAGAAGCTATTTCCTAATGCACTGGAAGATAGCTTGCCACCTTATCCAAAATAAATTCCTTTCCACCCCTCTCCTACTTGCAGAATTAATAGGTAACTATTTCAGCCTTTTCTGCATCAACATTACTACCAGTTTTGCAATTTCTGTCTGTCATCGCTGGCATTATCTTTTTCTTTTAATCTGTTTTTTAAACTCCTTGTTCTTCTTAAATGTGGGGAGTCTAAATATTTTCCCCACTGAAAGACTCTTTCCATCAAGGCCTTCCTTCTACATTTCTGCATTTCAAAATGCCATCAATATCCTTTGCTTTTTCTCCTTTCTTTATTACCCGTTTGGTTAGTAATTTCCAGTTGATGCTGAATTTGGATAAGGTTTTAGCTTAAGCTCCAAGCTTGATTATGGAGGGAGGGGGCTTGACTAGCTATTTGTCTTCAATTTTTATTATGCCTACACAACTTGCATTCAAATTTCTTGCATTCAGATTTTGCATCCTAACTAATTTGGCTTGTAGTTTTCAGAAACTTTGGGAAACTTCCTTGATACAACCACTGGTTTATTAATTACTACTTGCAAATCTCCTCTCTTGGCCCATACAGAATGTAATCACAGCTACTTCCAGCTCAAGAATCAATCAGCTGTTATCTGCCTTCTGAGGTCCATAGTAAGGTCATCTCCTTCTGTGTACAGTTGCTGTGTAAGTATTATCTGCTAGATTTAGAAACTCTAGACTGTTCACCACTGTATTAATGGGATGTCATAAATGTTTCTCTCAAACCCATATCACCTGTAACAGCCAACATACTTTGTCCTCTTTTCTGTGTAAAAGATAACTGCTTAAGGAATAAATCAGCCTTTTCTTTTCCATGGCCAAGTGATCCTGAGAGTTTGCTGTATTTTCTCTTGGGGTTTCTCTGTGAGAGAAGTCACCCAATTCAAGATTCTCTGCTGTCAGTGAGGCCTTGGAAGGCAATGGCTCAGAGAACACATTTGCCTTACTGCTTCTTCTGTTCCTGATGAGACTATAACATCCTGCTGTTGGAGGTTTTTCAGCCAGGCTAATGCCATTTTTAAATCTCATTTCCCTTTCCCAGTTGCCCCAACATTACTAATATGTGAGCATCTAAAAAAAAAAATTATTAATTCTTTGAGTTATTTCTCAGATCAGCTTAATTCATTTTGTTGTGCCAAATCTGATATTTCTCTCTACTTGCCTTTTGTTGCTAATGTAAAATCATCCAGAAGATACAAGCAGGAATCTCCAAGCCCCTTGGTCTGAGATACAGGGTAACCCACCGACTCCTTGTGCTGCAACATGTGCTCAGCAACACAATCACCATCAGCTTCATGCCAGCCAACACAGACCCACTATTTTCTGCCATCTTTAGTGTCAAAAATCTCTGTTGCTTGGGTATTTTTGTTTCTTCATCTCCACTCTGGCATTCCTGCATGCTTCTGTGTGAAGAGGATACCTTTGACATAAGTTTCAATGCTTTGATTATACAAACAAGTAAACACCACTGATTGATTTAACTTTTTCAAGCTTTTCTCCTGATGTTTTAACCTAGTTTCAGACTAGGATTCTTCCTAGCACGATGATGCACATGCTGCTGCAATACACATGAATAACTAAGCCAGCTGTAGAATAAGATTTTGCCTTTTAACAAATATTTCTAGCCAAATAAGACTAGAACTTAATTGTGTGAGCTTCTGAGTGAAAGAAAAGCGCAAACAAGTTTTGTTTATCATTACAAAGTATTTTACTGATTTTTAGATCTACATAGGCGTTTCTGTCATTATTTGTACTTTACATTCACAACAGAAATTGTTGATTTCTTCTTTTCCTAGTTAACAGCTCCCTGCAGTTGTTTCCATGCAAATGATGCTTGATGTGAAGTGGAAAATCCAACTTTGAAACTGTCTGGAAAGGGAAACAAGAAACTGTCTGTTTGTTGTGGAGTCTGATTCAGTGAAAGTTTCACCAGCCATTTCTCAGAATTGCTTATTTCTCGTGAGGGCTTCATGCATGTGTAAGTTATGTTTCTTCATGTCTCCATTTTGTGCACTCAGGTTTGTGTGTGATAAAAGAACCTGTTTTTCTGAAGGCAATCAGCCATCTAGCTTCTTCATTTGAGTTGCTTTAAAGTCCCATAGAGCTGAAGCAATCAATAACTATTAGTCGTTCCATTGGGTCTTTTGTTTTTAATCAGGCCCCCATTAGGAGCATGTGAACTTCTTTGTATTTCATTCTTGTTTGAAATAAGCCAGATATGAAAATCTGGAAGTCCTTTGCAATATAGGGCTTCCACTGTACTGCGAGTGCCCAAGATGAAGCCATGAAAAGAAGACAAAAGTATAAATGCTGGAAAACAAATCATGCTTTTTACCATTCTTGTGGTGTTTTAACCATTGAGAAGTTATGCCTGGAGGTAGTAGATTTATACTGATTTACCTTTAGCCTGGCTTTGTCCCCCTTTACCATAGTACCTGGCGATTGCCTGAGCACCTGGGCTCTTGAATGAATCATCTGCACTGGCTTCGGAAGGAAACCTTCTCAGTGCAATAGCAGCAATATCCGGACTGGCCATCGGTTTCTATTCCGTTCAGCCTCAGCTGATATATTTCATATGTTTTTGTAGCTGAAGCTGGGCCAGGACTTCTCTAGCTTTGACAGGAGGGCTAAATGAGAGCAGGGAATTTTATGTTCCTCTTCCCACAGCATTCCAGTAACCATGCAGGAAGTCATTGATCAATGGGATTTAGGCAGTGTGCACAAGAAAGGTACGTGTGTGTGGCCTGGTGGCCTTCGCAGCATGTGCTATGACGACACCACCCTCTGATTCAATAAACGGAGGGATAAGAGACGAGGTGGTAAGCCACACACACCACTATTATATGATGCGTCTCTGTAGCCAAGCGAATGCAGTGTGGTCTGCTTTTAAAGCCCATTCTACAAGGCTGCATGGTTCTTACTAAAGCTATGGTTTAGATGTGGTCATAGGAAAGAGATTTTCCTGGAAAGTTGCTTAACGTGCTGTCACCGAGGGCAAGTTCTCTGACCCAGTGGCTCATCCTACCCTGGGAGCAGAAAAAGGATCTGACCTTTCACAGGTCACTTAGGTTTGTTTTACTGTCCTGATTTGTGCCATAACGCAGGAGATCTCAAAAGCCATGTCATCTCCTCAGGAGGCTGCTATGCATTCAGGCCATGCAGCACAGGGAGGGTGGAAGACCTGGTATGCCTGCACACTTGAGCCAGAGCTGTTAGCAGGAATGGTTTTGCTGGTTTGCTCTGCCCTAAATGAAGTCAAACTCGTTCCTAGGATAAGTTCACTGACCTTCCTGGAGCTGCATGGGAAGAGTATTTGTCATGTTAAATACGCTGTGGATATAGAGAGCGAGCCAAAAAGAGAGAAGTACTTATCCAATAAATGTGCATCGTTTGTTTGTCATTGCTTTAGGGCATTAAAATTGCCCTGGGGAGCTCTTCTAGGCCTCTACCTGCCTACATTGTACCAGGAGCTGTTACGCTGCAAAGAAAACTTCACCTCAGCAGTTTGTGTGCGTTATGGAAGGTGACAGTTTGACTTTTTATCTTTCCTGTGCCCCAGTTTCCCATTTGGCCACAGGACGTGGCTCGGGGTAGGATGCAGCTGTGGTGAGGCAGACAGGGAAGGGGTTGATGTCAGTTCAGCAGCTCTGTCATTGCATGACTCGAAGCATAAACTAATGAAGTAAATCTGTTTTCCTTCTCTCTCTCTTTCTTATCTGTGATTTTCCACATCCAGAGGAAATGGAGAGGGGGAGGCAGCAGGAGGCTGTTATCATGCAGCGATGAGACAGGCTGTGGAGAAAAAGATGCTACTCCTTCAGCGCTCCCAAATGTGCTCCCAAATCTCAGAAGAGCTGAATATTTCAGCTGAAAGAGTCAGCCATGAAATAATCTTTTCCCTGGACACCGGAATAGTTATCATTATTGTACAGCATCAACAGTCCATTGAGCTGAACAGGGCAGCCTGTGCAGAGCTAGTGTTTCAGTCTGTCCACCTGCAGCACAGTAAATAATGGCGAGGATAGTTTACTGTTACAGAGGGATCGGAATTGCTGGCTGAATGGTCACAATCCAAGAAAATGTGTTTTAATTTAGCTAAATGAAAAGTAATACATCTGGGAACAAAGCGTTCACGCAGTACCTACAGGACAGGAGATTCTGCCTTGGAAAAACAGGATTATGGGGTCATTACGGTAACTACCTCCACAATAGCTGCTGGTTCAATGGGGCTAAGAGGGCTCAGCTGACTCCAGGAACCTAGAAGCAGATGATGAGATCTGGGGATGGCAGAAGCATGGGCAGGAGCAGCCCTGGGCTGCAGCATGAGGTGGTGGTCTCACCGGCTGTCCAGATCTTAGCAAGAACATAGAAACGTTGGGGAGGACCACTGAGATGGTGCCTGGGAAAATAAAAGCCTTTCTGTCATGAAAGGGTTAAAGTGCCGCCACCCAGTCAGCTTTTCGAAGGCAAAGTTGGGTAAGTCTTTGTAACACTGGATCCTCATTGCAGTGAGGAGACACTGAAGTTACTCTAACTCAGCTGTATCATGAGGCCTTACTTCCTATCGGTGGGTTATGCTGACCAGGCAGGAGATGGTAAAATCACCTCAGGGCGTTACCTTAACAGACATGCCTGGATCCACCGTAGGAGAGAAACACTCCATCATGAGCATGTAAAGTTTGATTGGGGATTATAATCTCTCAATTCTCATTCCTGTGCCTTTCTGGCATGGTGGTGGAAACAAAGCAATCTGCATTTCCCGCAGTCTGCTCATTGCTGCAGCTCTGCACTGAGACAGTGACAATGCCCAGCCTTCAGCTTTAAGATTTTGGGCCACAACAGGGCAGAGACTTTTCTTGTCCGATGCAAAACAAGCAGTGTGTTGTAGGGTATCACTGTATTTCCTTCACCTTCTTCTGAAGCACTGGAAATAGATGGGGTAAATGCTTGTGTAAGGTCTCTGCCCTTTGGACTTGCCCGTGATTGCCACCTCCCTGAGGTCTTGAATCACCTGCCAGAATTACTTGTGCACATTGCATTAGCCAGTTTGCTGCTTTGGTGTCTTCTGGTCTTTACCCATGGCACAGAACAGCTTCCCTTTCAGAGGACTGTGCTGCCTGAGTCTAACTGAAGCCTTAATGCTCAATGCTGGCTCTTCTTGACCGGCCTGTGAAGCACAGCAGCTACTCTCAGTTGGTCATAACAGGCTCATCTTCAACCCTGGGAGGTCAAAACATGACTTTGAAGAAAGCATCCAGTCATATCAAACAACAGGTCCAGAAATGTGGTTTTCTCTGAAGTGAAGGACGCGAGACCTAAAAACGCGCAGAGGGATTAAGGCCACCTAGGCAATATCCACAGGACAGAGTCCTATACTACTGCTGTTATCTTTGATCTGTGTTCTCTCATTTACTACTTCTGGAAGGGAAAGCAGCACCTGGCTTTCCCAGCCTTCCTTAATGACTTTCCCATCAAGCGTGAAGGAAGGTATTTCATGCTGTGGCAGGATTTAAGCCTTTGCACTTTGCTTCATCCCACCACAACCGCAGACCCGCCTCACCTCCAGGATCTGCGCTTCAGCTTACGCATGAACTTCTCCAGCTTTGCACCTTGGGTTTTGGATCCGCGCTTTAGCAAGAGGAAGGCCGGCTGAGATGAAGGGGTCTGACTCCCAGCGCAGACCTTCCCAGACCGTGGGAGTGCTCCTCTTGCGCAGCTCTGACCTGGGCCCATCTCTAAATATAACCGTAACTCAATAAATGTAAAAAAGGGACCAAGACATGACTGCAACCTTCCATCCAACAGTGGTTGAGTTATTACCGCAGTTACATCACAGCTGAAACAGGTGCAAGGAAATAAGCCTCCCAAAAGTTTCTATTCAGGAGGGAAATGACTGAAGAGAGCAGAGGGAAAGGAGGAAGGCGGAGGTAAGGGTAGGAGCCAGGGGACAGAGCGGAAGTTGTTTCTCTTGGGATGTGGCCAACTTAGTAGCTGTCCAAACCCAGGAGATGGCTTGGATGCTCCTTCTGTTACTGTCTTTGCTTTTTCCCATTTTCAGGCTGCCTGCTACCAGAGAGCATGAGAACTCCAGCATTGCATTGCCCTCTGAATACCCTATTGCCTGGGACCTCAGCAGCCCGCTGAACCACATTTAGGCCTGATGCAAGCAGACACACATCCTTCCGAGCAGATTTTGTGCAATTTTCAAGGAATCCTTCAAGGACTCATCAGCTCAAGTAATTCTCTCTGCCCCAAAACTATGGGGAAGGGAAGCGATTATGGGAAAGCTCATGTTCCTCCAGCAGCTGCAGTCGCGTTGGGTGGGATTCATCTGACTAAACATAGATGTCTCCATCTGAGCTAGTCACGCTAGGCTTCCTTTATGGAGGAGAATATGGGGAAATATAGGCACAGCTATGAGTCATCCCCTCCCCAGGTCAGTGTCTAAACCAGGTCCGGCAAATCTTGCCCATTTCTCTTCTTTTCTTGTAAAAGGAGGTGCAATGAATAGGTCTGTAAAGTTATGTGGTGCCCATCCTCTATCTGGTGTCCAAACCAGATGATTTGAGCTGGGGCAGAAGGGCCAAGCTGTGGTGAGGGCATTGCCAGAAAATGCTGAGTAACCACAGCCCAGTGGGGTAAATTGGCTCAGATGGAGCTCATTTCACTGGGGGATAGGAGGCAAGGAGTGCAAATGCGGGAGAGGAAATTGCCTAAGAAAAATGCCTATAAAAGTCACTGTGGGATGTCACCCTAGTGCCAAGACTATGTTTGTTTTGAATCAGAGCAGGTAGCTCTGCTTTTCTGTTTGCAGGCTAGAGTTACTGCCTTCCTGACACCACTGCAATTCACTACGTGACCAGTTACTTCCCCACTCCTGGCCTCTCCTTGCTTTCCACCTCTCCAGACTGCAATACAGTGGTCCCATCTTCACATCCCTGCGGAGCAGCAGGGTGCTGCTGAGTGCTCACACCCCCAGGCAGGCCTGGATCAAAGGATGTTCACCGCTGATAGTGGAGCTCCGAGTCCAGTGCACTTCCAAGTGCCACAGACACTTGGGCATCTTCCAGCAGGACGTTGGCTGTCTGCACCCTGTGCTGTGGCTCCTTGATGCCCAGCTCTGCCTATGTCCTCTTCCCAGCTGCCTGGCCTAGGGCTGAACTGGGTGTTGAAACAGAGGAGCATTTCCCATGCTATGTGTACGTCAGGGATGCGTGGGGAAAGGAAGTGCAGCAATTGCCAGAAGCAGCAGTGAAGTTACTGTATGGTGTTATCATCTGATGAGAAAAGTAATGAAGCAAAAATGCCTTGAGCGTGCCGTGAGCCAGCTCCTCTGTCAAGGGATTACTGCTGAGGACCCTCAAGACCTTATGTGCACCCATGACTGTAACCCATGAGTAAGAGCATAAAGCATGCACGCAAGGTAAATAAATGGTTAGAGAGAGCTGCTCCAAGTCAAATTCCTCCCCGCAGACTTTTTTCTTTTCCTTTCTCACCATTGAGACACAAACAAAAGCTCAAGTGATGTCATGGGGCAATGCATTTGGCAAGTTTCTCTCTGCTGCGTCCTGGTATGCACCAAGCCCGTTTACTGGTGCTGTCTGCATTTGCCAGAGGTGGCACAGGCAGAAGATACAGCAGAGCCCGACAGTACAAAGCAGGGTGCAGAGGAGGGATGAGGCTTTTCACATCTACTGTAACTGCTTCCCCTCAGTGCTAACCTGGAGCTAAACCACTGGGCCAAGTGCCAAATTCCATCTCCCTGCTGTAGGTCGGTGACTGACAGCGTGGGGGCTGGTGCTGTAGGGGCCTTTCATTTCCCTCCCCAAAAAGTGACTTAATTTGCTTAAAAACAGACAAACAACCCCGTGTGTGTGTGTATGTGTGTGTGTTTGCATGTGTGTGTGTTTGCACATGCACATGACATACTTTGGAAAGGAGTGCAAGTCCTCAGAAGCTGATGTGGGAATTTAGGACCAATCCTGAACTCAGGACTTGGGTTCCTCAGCCTCAGCAGCACAGTGATGGACAGTTTTGTGCCAGGACTTTTCAGAGATCCCCTTTATCTAGTTGCTAGGCAGAACGGAGGTTCTGGTGCCTTTAACCCTGACAGAGGATTTGGTATCAAGGCAACTCCTTGCTTTGTGCTTGGATATTTCTGGGAAAGCCAGCTGGGAGGTAAGGAGAGGTATGTTCATTAAGTGCCTTCACTCGGAGTTAAAGGGCCAAGCACGCTCCTGCTCCTTCACCCTCCTACCAGCAGCTCACTGGGATGAAGAAAATGGTTAAAGGTGCATGATGAGAAATCAGCCTGGTAATTGCATTACCCCCAGGGAGGGGTGGCTGCCGGTCACAGGTATCGAGGTACAGCCCTGGGTGAATGCTGCTTCTTGTTTTCTTGTTCCCTTCCTCCGGCCACGGTCCCTCTCCGGAAATAACATCTTTGCTCCTCATTCATTAATGCCCTGGCTGTGAGATTTGTGCGTTGGAGCCAAGTGGCACAATCTGACCTGCCCTGTACGATCAAAACAAGCTGTCCCAAATAGTCACCTCCCTGGCTGGAAGTGGAAGCACCTGGGGTGGGATTCCCACTGACCCCACGTGTCTGTACCCCATGAATGGGTTGGTACCAAAGCCTATTAATAGAAAGAGAGGAAGGGAAGGGGGAAAAATCACAGCTCTTTTCCCAACAGCGCCTAGCTCTGCTTGGGCAGAAAGCCTGTCCCGTGCTGCTGGCACACTGCAGTGCATCACCCCAGTCATTGTCCAGCTTTCTATCATCTATACCTGTATATATGGGGGCTTTTTGGCTGCAGAGACCCCACAGAGCTGAGCCCTCTGTGTCACCCCAGCAGTATGTTTGCCTCACGCCGAGGTGACCAGCCTGTATGCAGATTTGCTACAAGGCGCATCCTCTTTGTCCCTTGCTTGCAGCGGCTTGGCTAAGAAGCCTGAAGCTTTCCTGAAGGTGACGAGGGGCAACAGCTGAAACCGCAGATCTGCTTCCTCCACTGAGAAATACATCCAGAAATGTTTCACTATTGCAGCCCACTGGAAAAGAGCTGGCCTGGGCCCCGCGCAGCTCTGGGCTTGCAGCACTCCGAGAGCTGAGCAGGCATGGAGGCACTCTCGCTTTAAGGATTGATTTCCTAAGTGAACTGTCAACTCCCGGTGGCTAGAAAAATCTGCAAACAATTTCTAGTCACTGAACAAAGCAAATCCTTGTCCTGTGCTGTAATAGTTCGTTATTAAATAAAGGACCCTTTGTTAGGCTATAAGAAACGGCGTGCACTCCGCCGCGCTTCGCAGTGTGCCTTGGTGTGGCTTTGCAATGCATGTAAAATTGTGTATTTCATGTCCTGTGAAAAGAGACAGAGCGGGTTAGTTTGGTATCTGTAGGAAAAGCACAGGGTGAAGCAAAGATCACAGCACAGCTCAGATGATAGAACTTTATTGTTGATGCATTTGATTCATGATCCTATGAGGAGACCCCGAGACCGGACTTTCCTTTGTAACAGGGTAAATCAGGAACAACGTGGGTGGAATTACTAGCGAGGAGAGAGAGGTGTAACTTTAGCAGCTGGAAATCCTACAAGTTGTGTTACTTACTGGGCTATCTTTTTGCAGTTCTAGGCTTAAATGAGTCAAACGGAATCAAAGGCCATCAGTGTTTACCCATCCAGGAAAGTAGATGTGATTCCAGCTCCCTCCTTTCTTTTGCTCTTCACCCAGCAAGCTGCCAGTCATCTGCCAGTATCTGCCCTACAGCTGCAGAGCCCCAATACCCCGCTCAGCATCTGCTTGTGTTAACTGTTAGTGTCACTCTGTGACAGACCCGGCTGTGGCACAGGCATGGCAACCATAAGCTCTTTGCTTGTGCTAGAGGGGCAAGGGGATCAGACCTTGCTTCACACAGAACTGAATCCACATGGTCCAAAATGCTTCCCCTGCTGCAGCTTTGAGGCATGGGATCTTCTTCTCCCTGCCAGCACACAGGCCCTTAGGCTTGAACTCTGCTAAACTCAGTGTTTTCCTTTGCATGTCATTCACACACATTCTGCCAGGCTGTGACCTGTCAACCAAACCAGTCATAGAATCACAGACTGGTTTGGGTTGGAAGGGACCTTAAAGCTCATCCAGTTCCAGCCCCCTGCCACGGGCAGGGACACCTTCCACTAGACCAGGTTGCTCCAAGAGTCCTGTCCAACCTGGCCTTGAACACTGCCAGGGATGGGGCAACCACAGCTTCTCTGGGCACCCTGTGCCAGCGCCTCAGCACCCTCACAGGGAAGAATTTCTTCCTAATGTCTGACCTCAATCTCCCCTCTGTCAGGTTAAAGCCATTCCCCTTGTCCTGTCCCTACAGGCCCTTGTCCAAAGCCCCTCTCCTGGTTTCCTGTAGCCCCTTTAGGCACTGGAGCTGCTCTAAGGTCTCCCATTAAGGAGCCTTCTCTTCTCCAGGCTGAACCAGCCCAGCTCTCTCAGCCCGGCTACAGAGCAGAGCTGCTCCAGCCCTCACAGCATCTCTGTGGCCTCCTCTGGGCTCGCTCAGCAGTTCCAGACAGACCATCATACAAGCTTGCATGCCTCGTAGTTTCTTTTCTTGTGATGTTTTGCACAGGGTTGGCAGCTCATGAGCAGGGCTGTAGTTTTCCTGCTCCTTCCTTCCTGCTACTTTACATAAGGCAGTTGCTATCAATTCCCTGCTCTGCTGGCCAGCAGCCAGCTCAGGTAGTTGCACTCAGCCCTTCCAGAGCAAAACCATGTTTTTCCTTACTTACCACCTCCAAATGCTGTTTAGAGCATCTGCAAGAAGCTTCTACGTATCTTCCAGATTCATCTTGGTGGCAGAGCCACTGCTGCTGCTACTGCAAGGCAGTGGGAGGTTTGCTAAAATGCCCCATTCACTTGTTCTGATGCTCCCAGGGACAAAAGGGAGGTTAAAGGCACTGATGTCCCCCAGCCAGACTCCAGCATCACTTTCCCCTGTGCTCCTGTTGGTTTTACCCTTGCTGGTGTTTGGCCATCCGTAAAGGCAGGCAGGAAACTGGCAGGGGAGGCTGGAGAGGTCTCACCCCCAGGAACGTGTGGCCGAAGCCTTGCTAGGCAATGGGTCTACATCTTGGGTGCAGCCCAGCAGTGATGCCAGCGAGGGCATGAGAAGCACATCACTACCCTGCATTACAGAGGCTCTCACTTCCCAGCAGTCCCCAGCAGAGCCCGTGGGAAGCGGGATGCCTTGTCCATCAGCCGGGACGGCACTGCACAGTGAGCAGGGTCTCCCACAGCGTGGCAGCACTGAACTGCTCATACACCTCAGTGGTCCCAAACACGGCTCTTCCTCCGCTGCTTCCACCTCTGTGAGCTTCCCTGTGGCCCAGGGGAGCAGCACAGGTCTAGGGGAGACAGGCTCACTGCTGAGCACTCGGAGGCCAATAGTGACAGGTGAATTAGAAGCCAGAAAGCCAAACGTGTGATGGAGTTGAAGAGACGTGTGTGATGCTGAGCAGCACAGCAACACCGCCACAGTGCAAACCAGGCACCCGGCCTCGCTCCCGAGTGGCAGGATGAAGACAAGGCAAACACCTTCCCTCCTGCCATCAAACTCTGGCTGCAAACAAGGCTGCTCGCACCAAACCCCCTGCACAGGCACCCGGACCACCATGGACTTTAACTGGGGATGGAGGCTGGCCAGGCTCTGCAGGACGTGTGCTACGTGTCACTGCCGTGTTCCCAGCTCCCTTGGCTTCCCGGCTCTCCTGGGGTCGGGATTGCATTGCCACACATCCCACACGGCGCCCAGGGGATTTTCCTGGGAGGCAACTGGCTCATCCTTCCGCTTTTGCCATTTGTTTACCTTTCAGGAGGTCTTCCCTTTCACTCCTCCACTGATGTAAGGTGGAGCTGGGATTTTCCAGCTGTGGGAGCAGGGTGGCACGGGTCTACTCCCTGCTTTGGCCACCCTACCTAGACCCAAGAGCCAGGAGCTGAGGTCCAGCTCCCTGGCAGCAGCAGTGGTGAGGCAGCTGTGGTGCTCACCTCCCAAGGGCCTCAGATGTGCTTTTTGGAGCCCTCCTGCACTGCAAATATCATGATAAGGTCCCTGGAGAGACCTTACTTAAAAATGGGGAGACTCAAAACCCAGAATGCACCCCCAATTTGAAATTGTTGCTGGCCCCATCGCTGCTGCGTGCATGCGGTGGCTCTAAAATGGCCAAATGCTGTCTTTCTGTTTTGTTTTTCTCTGCCTAAATCTGATGTTTTCATTGCAGTGGACCAGCACTTACCAGCAAAAAGCCTTTGACCAAATAATCCTGTCCAGCGAACACACCACAGTGGCACCAGCAAATCTGAGCAGTGCCACCATCTAGGCTACTCTGGGAACAGAGTTTGGGGTTTTGAGGTTCTCTGGTTTTAAGTAAGTTTAGAGCAAGGCCAACCAGGCATGGGCTGACTTTCCTGTGCCCATTTGGGTCTCTTAAAGCAAGGAAATTTGCATCCAAAACTGCTGATGATGTCCTGAACCCCCAAAGTTTTCAGGACAATATTGACATAAAACTCATCACTTGGTGCAGGACAGAAGAAAAGAAAGCCTATCACTCTGCAGCCTGCTCTCCTGAGGGAAAACACTAGTTTTGAGAACATGCACAAAGAAAGGATGATCTACATTTAACTGGATGATCTATATTTAACCAGATAAATCAAAGCCTTTATGCTTGCTTCAGGACTGTTCGTGACTGGTAGCTCCCCCACAACGAGAAATCCAAGGGGATTCTGTGATGGCCTGGGGTTTATGCACAATGGGGCCCTTTGCACCAGTGCTTCTAAGCAAAGCTTGGCAGAGGTTTGCACACAAGGGGCTAAAACTGTGGGAGCTGCTACAGGCAGAACCGAGCCTGCAGCAGGAGACCACAGACCCAGCCATGGTTCAAACAGAAGAGGCAAAGATGGCAATCACAGATCCCAGTCAAAGAGGACATCTCACATCTCAGAAGAGGCCCTGGCTCCAGCACCAGCAGGGAGGTTACTGGGCGAGGAGGATCCCAATCTCATTTTGCTGGCTGATGCTCCAGCCCTTTCTTTCTCTGCTGATACTCCAGCTAAGCTGGAGGCAGGCATTTTCCGGCTGCTTGTGCCAAGCAGAGCTCAGGTGAAGAGCTGAGTGAAACTCAAGCTGTTACAGGGCATGATGGCAAGCAAGAAGTGCTATAGTGGTTCAAGACTGCACTCCACAGAGCTGAGAAAGGCATTGCTGCCTCCCTGATTGTGTGGCCAGCTTTTGCACAGATTCTAGCATTTTCTGTAATTGGGAGAACCCAGCAGCAGCCTCCAAGGGACCAAAGAGAGGAAAAAATAGCATGCAATAATGTTTTTTCCCCTGTGCCACAGCCCAGCCTTGAGAAGAAGAGGAAAGGGCAGAGAGAGGCATCCAAGGAAAGGAAAGAACTGGACATGGGGCAGGTATAGGAGCTTGTGCTGTGCCAGCCTGCAGCGAGGCCGCGTGGTGGGCAGGGGCTGGGACTTCAAAGTGACACCAGTTCCTTGAGTTTAGCCATAAAGGAAACAAGCATGCATGGAATGTCCCCAGTACTGGTGCCCAAGGAGAGCACTTGCCAGCTGGTCAGCAGCGAGCGCTTGCTTGTTCCAAAGGTGATGTGGAGAGGGCAGCACTGTGGGACCGGCCACGCTGCTTCTTGTGCAGCTGCAAAGGAGAGTGTGACATTTATGACATTTACTGTTGCTGGAAGGGAGCCAACCCTGATCCCCACATGTGCTGCAGCACGTTTTGCCAGGTACTGTGGTCCTGCAGACCTCCAGCCTCTGCCCCAGCCTCACAGTGGGCACTGGGACCTCCTCATGATGACACCCTCATTACTGGGTAGTGGTGAATGCGGGAGACAGGAGGCTTCCAGCTCAGGCAAGCAAGAGCCCAATGTGCAGCCACATCACCTGGGGAGCTTCCGAGAGGCCCCTGTTTGCCACTGAGCTCAGCTCTGAGGGTTCGGTGCCTGATGACTGCTTTCACAGAAGGTACAAGCTGGTCTTTTGAGCCCTCTTTTACCTCTGTAACCCTCTGGTGAGAGCTCAAGTTCAGTTTCTGCAGCAGGACAATGGATGGGGATGAGGGATGCTGCTGACCATTTGGCTTCCCTTTGAAGCTCCATCCAAAAAGCCGTATTATGGCAATGCCATGGTGAGGGGTCCTACAGCAAAGTCGAAGGAGTTTACTGAAAGCAATGGACAGGGGACTGAAATAGTCAGCAATGCCAGGAATGAGACACATCTGCCCTTTCCCAGCAAAAGCCTTCTAGGCAAATAAAGAGTGTGGCTAGTACAAATATTGCCGTGACCCTCTGGCACTACGGGATGTACTTAGGTCGTCAAAGCCAAGCTGCCTCAAGGCAGGCTAGGCAAATTGAGTTTTCACTAGGGCTTGGAAGGGCTGGCTGCTCATGTAAGTGAAATGGGGTATCTATCTCCCAGCAGCAAAGGTCCACGCTCAGGGGAGGGAACTACACATTTTCCATGGTCTTCCCTTGGGAGATGCTCCTTGGAGCCACATTCCCTTCCTCTGCTCAGCCCTACACATGGCTCTGCTTTGGGGTTTTCACTATAGGAACTCTGCATCCAGGTCTGAGCAGCTCTCACCTCCCCCTTTCCTAAAATGGGGCGGGCAGCATCAGAGCTCTGAGGACAGTGGAGGATGCTCAGGTACAGCAGGAGTGGAGTCATACAGCTCAGCTAATTAGTGCTAGTATTTCTGTGTCTGGCCTTTTCTCAGTTCACATCCATCTGGGGCTCTTTTCAGTCATTATAGCGCGTTCCACTCGCCTGTGTTTTGTTTCCTCTCTCCTCCTCTGTCTCCCAGATTTTTGCCACTGTTTCACATCCCAGTCCAAGTTATTTGTCTCTTCTGTCTTGCTCCGGTCGTGGGAACATTAGCAATGTTTTCCTGCAGAGCAGGGTGGCTCAGAGACCGCCTCGCAGACCTGACAGCCACCCTAGTGCTGCTGGCAAAGGCTGGAGCAGCTCAGCCAGCCCCTGGGAAACGATCCTGTTTACGTGGTTCATCACCATCTGATCTACCCACCGCTTCTCGCTCCTGCCTCGGACCAACTGTGCTGCCACCGGGCCGTGCCGAGCCGGTGGGACATGCAGTCAGTCCAGCCTGTGAAGGGAAGTGTGACTCACATGGGCCTCCCACCCATGAGTAACAGTGCTGGTCTATCACGTCTCAGACAGCCGGGGCAGCTTGGCGGAAGGGAGGCTGCTTCCCTGGAGAGGAATGGAATAGGTCACCCAGGACACGAGCGATAAAAGGGACAACGAGTGTGAGACATGGCAGCTGTGAGGAGCCTCACATCAGATGCAGGGGCTGCACCCCAAGGTACAGCCAAGGAGGTACAAATGCAGGCGGACATGGGGTACAGGGATTCCCATTTAACACTGTCGAGTTCTGGGCTCCTCAGTACAATGAAGGCAAGGAGATACTGGAGAGGGTCCAGCAGAGCCTCTGGAGCATCTCTCTTATGAGGAGACATTGCAGGAGCTCAGCCTTAGTCTAGAGAAGACTGAGAAGGGATCCCATTAATACAGATCAGTCTCAAAGGTGGGTGTCGGGAGGATGGTGCCAGATTCTTTACAGTGGTGCACAGTGACAGGACAAGGAACAATGGCCATAAACTGAACACAAGAAGTCTCACCTCAGCATGAGGAAGAACTTTACATTGGAGGTGGCAGAGCAGTGGAATAGGCTGCCGATGGGGATTGTGGAGTCTCCCTCTCTGCCTGGACACTATCCTGTGCAATCTGCCCTGGGTGGCCCTGCCTTGGCACAGGGCTGGCTTGGATGATGTCCAGAGGTCCCTTCCAACCCAAGCCATTCTGTGATTCTTCCTTCTTCCTTGCTCAAACCCACTCCTCTTTTCCTGGGAAATGCATGGTCCCAGTCTGAAGCCAAGCAAGGGAAGACAGGCGGAGACAGCGAGAGCACGAGAGGTGGAAACACAAAGCAGTTATGTGCTTCTCGGCATGGAAAGAGGCCCAGGTTATTAAATAACAGGCAATTTCAGCATGAGTTATTAATATTAGTTTGTACTGGGAAGTGGTGCCTAGGGGCTCCCATTGCACTAATCACATAACAAAGCCATGTTCCTAACACAAATAGCTTGTGTTTTAGCCTGCAGAGAACAAGTCGTCTCCTTCCCATTATCCTCCCTTTGAAAAAGCAGGATGAAGATTGCACAGTCGAGCCCACAAAAACTGGGAAAGGGAAAAAAAAGACATTGGTCTGCCTTACAGTGCCATCGCTTACACCCATCCATCCAGCCCAGTGACTCCATCACCACCTTGGGACCACGCTGCCTCCTCTTCCCCTGCTTCAGCCCTGACCCCAGCACATCTGGCCGCAGCAGCACTTTTGGGTGCAGTGATGTCCCATTACCTATTTAAGGTGGTGGAGGGCTGTGGGGTGGGTTTTTTCCTGCCTCACTGATCACTGCTGTGTATCTATCTCTTTTTCTCAGGCTTTGCAAACTGCAGTTCCCTCATGTCCATGCCCTTCTGAAGCAAGAAACCAGTTTAATGAATTAATTAATTTGCAGCCTTGGCACTAAAGCACAGACTAAAGGTCAACAGCATCCGCTCTAATTTTGTATGATACAAACCATGACTGCCCTACTATTTTTTGTTTTCCTGAGGACCTGGCACTATTTTGAGTTTCACCACATGGCAACAGGTCCTCCTACCCCCTGGCTGCAGCTTTCCACATGCAGCTCTTCACTGTCCCAATCCCAAGTCAGGCTGCAGGACCAGATAAATGCCCTGCAGCCCCAGCCCTTTGCCTGGCAGGGCTCACCTCTGCTGATGCTGTGACCCTGGTGTCTTAGCAGTATGGAATCATAGAATGGTTTGGGTTGGAAGGGACCTTAAAGCTCATCCAGTTCCAACCCCCTGCCACGGGCAGGGACACCTTCCACTGGAGCAGGTTGCTCCAAGCCCCTGTGTCCAAGCTGGCCTTGAACACTGCCAGGGATGGGGCAGCCACAGCTTCTCTGGGCACCCTGTGCCAGGCCCTCAACCACCTTCATGGTAAAGAATTTTCTCCCAATGTCTAATCTCAATCTCCCCTCTGTCAGGTTAAAGCCATTCCCCCTTGTCCTGTCACTACAGGCCCTTGTCAAAAGCCCCTCTCCAGGTTTCTTGTAGTGTGTTTTGCATCTTCATCCACACCCTCAACACTGCCAACAGCCATGGTGACAAACAGGGCAGGGATCCCCACAGCATCTCCTGCCCTCTTGACATCTAACCTGAGGCAGCCCCAACTCTCCACCCTGTTTTCCTTCCCCATAGCTTTTACAATGTGAATGAAGTGAAGCAACATTCTGGGAAGCAGAAACAGGAAAGCAAGAGACCACGAGTGGAAGCACTACACGTGCTGATTGCAACCAGGCTCTGCAGCTGAATTAAGAAGTAACTCCCTCCCCGGAGGAGCTATTTTAAAAGCTGAAAGCTAAGAACTTAAGTACAAAGGCTTTTGTGTTTTTATTGACATTGTAAGAAAGTTTGTTTTTTTGTTACAAAAGAGCTAAGTGGTTCTGAAAGCAGAAGTACAGTTCGTATGTACACAGTGCTACAGACCCTTCCGATCAACCTAAGGCTTGAGAAACATCAGATCGTAACTGCAGGTTTATCAAATGAAGACCACTAAGGCCCGTTACAGCCAAACACTATTCCTACCGTACGTAAATGTATGTACACATTTTCTTTTTTTTCTTTTTTTAAAAAAAAAAAGGATTACAAGTTTTATTAAAAAAAATAAAAAAATTGGGGAAAAAAAAAAAGAACACATTTTTATCTTACACATCTGCAGGACTGACAACAGTAACTGTTCCATAGGAGACATTCCACCAATCCAAGGACAGTAACACGTGAATACCAGAGGTTTACAAGACGTTTCGGACACTATTAACAGTGGTATGTGCCATCAATCAGCTGAATGGGAAGTACAGCCTCACTGGGAACATTTGGCAACACATCTTGGTCCCTCTCTTTTTACAGGAGCAACACAAAATAAGGCACATACATTGCGAGAACAGGAACACTGCTGTTGGGAAGGATGGGCCATTGCTCAGCAGGTATGGGAGAGCTGACCGGCCACTTCATCAAGGGCTGGGGGCGCAGTGAGGGGAAGTGAGGACCCAGCCAGCACCATAATGCACGTACCATGTAGGGCTGATCTCCAAGGAGGGAGTAAAGTCATCTGCCATGGGGATGTGTGGGGCCAGCACTCACCAGCAAACCCCCTTGGAAAGCCTGCTGGCTCTCTGGAAGAACCCCTTTCCTCTACCTGGGTGTACCTGATGGATGAAGTCCCACTGGTGATCCCACTTTGTGGGAAGTAAAACTGCCTGGAGAAATAGGGGTGCCTGATGCAGGCCCAGTGAGGGAGATGCGCCAAAGGGCAATGGTAACCAATCTGGAAGACCCCCACAGAGCCATTAGAAGAAAAGGTGATTTAGACACAGGCTGCAGTGCTTTAAAAATAGGAAATTCACACTATTTTTTGCTTTTCCTAATACTCTTAGCATGAGTGGTGGGTTTCCCGCTGCTATGGCAATGGCAACTGATGCAACAGATCAGCTGAATACACAAAAGCAAGCTTTGGCTCTGTAACTGGTAGAACAGGAGGGGTGCCAGTAAACATGTGAGCAGTGATGGTGGGACATTCCCCAAACTGCCACATATTGACAAGGAGGTTGACAAGTGAAAGGTGGTGCCCAGCCTAACAGTGCCACAATCAGAGAGCCCAGTCTACCCTATGAAATCAAAACCCAAACCGAAGACTGCTGGGCTACGAGGTATTGCTACCCTCACAGGTACCAAAACAGGAAGCTTAAGGCCAGGTTGGACAGGGCTTTGAGCAATCTGGTCTAGTGGAAGGTGTCCCTGCCCATGGCAAGGGGTTAGAATGGGATGAGCTTTAAGGTCCCTTCCAACCCAAACCAGTCTGTGAAAAGCATGAGGAGATACTAAAAGCAGGGAAATGACACACGAACCTAAGTGGCACATACACTTAATGACAGAATAACGATCAACCATTTGCACAAACTCCCTGGGGACACAGTGGAGTCTCTGGTTCTTCAACCTTCGCAAATCAAAGTGGGATGCCTTTCTGGAGAGTGTGGTTTTGGCCAAGACACACTACTGGCCCAACACAGGGGTGAGTGACAAAGGTTTGCCAAATCCAGGAAGGCAAATTAATGACTCAAGCAGTCCCTTTTAGCCTTGAGCAATATGAATGGCTACTTCTAAGCCCTGATGGATCACATCTGTCAATAGGCTCCCAGCTTCAATTGGACCAGCAAATACAATTATGAACTGGAAATTGAGTTTTAAAAAATAGTTTGAGGTTGCTTTTTTTTTTTAATGCGTTGGACTTTATGACAATAAAAGGCTTCTCTCCCAAGTCACCTACTCCCAAGCTGGCCATAAGTCTCCCTGATGAAACTGTTTATAAACATGTAATTGATGATTTAATAAAGAGCCAGCAAATGGTTACCGAGAACCATCTGCAAGATGTCCAGCACAGCCTTCCCTCATACACAGGCTGCTGTTTCTTCACATGGTTGTGAGCTGTTATCATGGCACTGCAATGTACAGCATGGCCATAGAAGCATCCCTCCTACCCCACTCACCTGCCTGGCTGGTGGCATCCTTTCATGACAGGACAAGGGGCAAGGGCTGGTACAAGCAGCAGGTTTCTACAGGGCTGCCTTTGTGCAAGGAGAGCACAAGGAGCAGCATCGCCGTGTTCCAAACCGACTGTTTGCCATGTGAGCTGTGCCTAGCTCCCTGTGCAGCCCAGGGACCACTGCAGGAGGGCTGTGATAGCTGGACATGGGGAGGGAGGTCAGGAGGGAAACTGGCAAAAGGCAAAGAGCAGGATGGGGGAACATGCGTGCATGAGACAGAGGAAGGAAGAAATGCTTGCTAAAGATATGGAGAAAGACAGGAGCTGGGTGATCATAAAAGCTGTAGGATATTTACATTTGTCTTGCTTTTTGACATTCCAGCTCACAGTGCAAATCACTTGGTACGTGCTGTGTTAAGCACAAATACGGCCCCAGCACCAGATTCCTATGATGTTTTCCTACTGATTTACAGCGTCTTCCTCTAAGAGCTGTTAATAGATCAATGTTATCTGACAGCTTCACTGAGGTTGTATTCCTACACGTTTCCTCAAATGCCATGCCCTGAATCAGTTGGTATTTCAGCTTTTTTTTCCAGTCAAAAGAATGAATACTGTGGCCTCCTAGTCCACAGAAATCACCTTCCGCTTGTTTTTGCTATTTTTAATGCAGTTTAAATTTCCTGATTTTGTAAAGCCTGGATACAGAGGAAAAACATTTATCAGTTTGCTTGCCATCACACTGATTTATTTGGTTAGTTTGAGAACTGGGCTATTCATTTTCTACTTACTTGCTTTACATGCCATAACTGTGTAACTGTGTTACATCAGCGGGCATTTACTTAGTTTAAAACATCCACCCATGAAGCTGTATGTGCTCAAAGGGATGTACAAAACAGTTCTGCTGGCAAAGGAACTGCTACTGTGAATAAAATGCAGTGGCTCAGCAAAATACCTCAACAATTCGCATTAAATTAAAAATCGCCAGTATGGAATACTGCAATTTTGTTATTTCACTGTAGGAAATACTCAATAAGACCCTGATCATATCTCCACAAATGTGGTATGGAAGTAGGGGATTCTAGACTACCCAAATCCTGCCCATTAATTTTACTATCCAATCATTTGAAAAAGAAGACTGAAAAACAGAATACCAAACAGTGCAGAAGATGAGATCTGGACTAGGAATAGCTTTCTGGTCCTCTCCTCCCTCTGAAATGGATTAAACAAGACACAGTCTCAGTATCATGATGCAGGGCAGTGACAGCTATCTGTGTGTTTGTTTACGAAAACCTTAAACTTTTGCTAGGGATCAAAGGGATGATGGTTGTACATTTCCTATTTGCTTGAACCTCCTCATTTCTTGTGCTCCATGACTCTGAAACTACAGCCTAGGAGTATCATGTCAGTGCATTTCTGAAGGGTTGTCCACCTCAGTGCGATCTATCCAGTGCATCCAGAGAGGATTTCATCACTGCAGGCTCACTTTACATTGTGCCTGGTTATTTTGTGCCTATATGTTTAGGGGGAAGAGTTGCAACAAGTTGTACAAGGCTTAGTTTCTTTTGAGTGACAGAAAAATTGCGAAGTTATTTCATCAGACCTTTCTTAAAATAAAAAAAATCCCCAAACAAAACAAAAACATGCACTTCACACGTTTACACTGGTTTACAATTAAAAAAAGGCAAAAGGAAGCATACAGACATTCAAAAGTGGGGGGGGGGGGGGGGGGAGGGAAAGAGAGAAAAGGGGAGGGAGGAATGAGTGTAGCAATACTGATTCAAAACTGAAATGGAAGACAGTTTCTCCCTAGAACACTTTAGGGTTTTCAGAGTCCTTATTCCATAAAAGGAATATACTTGAAACACATCCCATTTAGGTGAGATGAGACTGCTAAAATACATACACAACTAAAAAATACGAGTCTTTTTCATCTGTTATCTCTAAGGGTTCTTTTTGTTTTGTTTTGTTCTTTATGTCTATTGCATAACAGCAAGAAACTTGCTTTCTTCTGCAAGTGAGGTCAACAAAGAGCTCATGTCCCCAATAGCCATGTTGGTTGTGCTTACGGGCATAGCTGGGAATGTAAGAGACGCTCGGGGAGTGGTGAGGCGTGAGGAATTGCGGGAGACATTCTGAATGATACTCGGGCTCAGGGCTCCTGAAATTAAGCTGACGTGGTCCCCATCATCTATGATAGCATCAAAATCAATCTGCACGCCCTCTAGACTGGTGCTGTCAATGCTGTCAACTGTGCTCGACACTTGGTTAGCCCCCGGGGAAAGAAGCTCAGATGAGTTTGCAGTTGCAGTCCCCTGCAGCAGGCAGTTAGCTTCTGAACCAAAGAAAGAACCTGTTTTCATAGCTTGGTGGCTAAAGCCCATGGTTTGGTCATATAACTGACCAGAGTAATTCTGCACGTTAGAGCAGAACTCCTGTGATTGACCTTGCATCTCCATCTTAATGGTGTTTACCCTGTACGCCTGGTTGCCATCACTTATATGTCCTTGCTGTTGTGCCAGGTTGCTTCTCAACACGTTCTGCCGTCTGTTGCCGCTGTAGTTAGCACATGGCTGGTAACTTTTGGACACCAACAAACCTGAAGGCTGGTTACCAGTGGTGTGAGACACTGGTGGACAACCCTGCGGCCCTTGGTACAGGCTGCTTTGTGAGGTAGGACTAACCTGCCCTAGCATCATTTGACCGGATTGATCGACTCCCTGGTAATGAACGCCATCCCCAACTGGTTGGTTTTGCAAATACTCCTGTTCCATCATATTCCTGTTCTGTATCCCATTTGCCATACTGGTGGCTTGATCGCTGGATACCATGGGGTGGCCGAAATTTTGTGGGTTCCCACTCAGTGGCATGTTGCTACTTCTCAACTTCTGCCCTTGAACTGCCATGACACATGAATTGTCCATTGCCCCAGACATCATGGCTTGCCGTCCGACGCTTTCGCTGTAAGGCTTATTGGGCTGCATGCTGAAAGAATTGCCAGCTCCGCTGCCAAGAACCATGTTTTGCTGTAAACCATAGGAACCAGTGTTCTCCATCAGGTTCTGATAGCCGTTCTGCTGGGCCATGTTGCTTCTTTCCAGACTCTGCTGCTGAACCATCATATTGTTATACAGTCTGAAGGCCCGAGACTGCTGCACTGCTGAGCGCTGGCCACATTTCAGTTTTGAAGAAGATAAGTCAGAACTTCCTGAGCTTACTTCATTCCACTGAATGGGCAAGTCGCTTTTGTTTGCCTCGGAACCTGCCTGCTGACTGCTCGGTGGAGGGGCTTGGTCGAAGTTGCTGGGGTTGTTGTTTCCTAACACTGAGCTGTGATGCATTTTGTTGCCATCTAGGACATTGTTCAACAAGTGGTCATACATGCCCTGGTTCTGGGAATTCAGATACTGAACCACGTCATCTGGCAGGAGATCCTCATCATTCAGACTGCCACCTGCTTCCATTGTAGCAGCCTCCAGGGCGACGTTCTCACTGATGCTCGGAGGACATGGGGAGCTGAAGCCGCGGAAGACGCCACCCTCAGAACGGGTATAGTTCTGAAGAACAAGGTTGCGCTTTTCCGTGGATGGAGGCAAAGCAGGAGGGTTAAAGCTATTAAGACTGTTGAAACGCTGGACTCTAGGGAGAGAGAGGTTGTCGGAGGCCATTCTTACTGGATCACTGGCTCTTCTTGTTCCATTTCCTAAAGCATCATGAGACAGAAAATGCCTCCTGCTGTAACCATTTGCCCCACCGTCACTACATCTTCGAGGGGCATTCACTGAAGGCAGTGGAGATACTCCAGACTCCCTGCAGTCACCCAAGAGTGCCATCCTTGTTTTGAGGCTCATCCTCTCCATGTTAGGCAGTGGAGTTGGTGGGGGTCCACCAGTAGCTGCTGCATATTTAGCTTTCAGCCTGTATTGCTGGGCCGGGGTGAGGCTGAGAAGACTTGGCAGGTCATCACACTGGCTCGCTTCACTGGAGCGCCGGGAGGCATCTGTCGAGATGGGGTCATAGGAGTCTGCAACACTCACGTTGTGCGGTCTCCCCTCTGCCTGGGAGGCATCGCTGGACCTCCGGCTGGAGAAGCAAGGTGAGATTCCAGAGGACCTGCGGCTGCTCAGGTAGGCTGAACTGATTGTGCTAGTATTGCTGTCCCTCCTGTTCAGCATGTTCAACACAGTGATGTCTGTACTCGAAAGTTCGTTCCTGTTCGGCAGAATAGTCATGGATCCTCCTACACTGCAGCTGCTGTTCGACTGGGTACCTGAAGGTAAAATTCACAGTTAAACATGCATCCCCCAGAAACTGGAACAGAAAGCACCAAGTAAAGGGGAGTACAGAGGAAAAGTCTGCATCATGACAGCAAATCACAGCAGTGCTCTGTCTTGAATGAAGTAGGGATAAAAACTGTGTCCTTAGGTTAAAAGCTAATTCAGAGGCTCAAGGGTAGCATTTCAGTGTGAATCCCAGCACATAATTTATAGGCCACAGCCACAAACTGTCATCAGCTGGTATAGCACAGTGCAACTATGCTGACTGATGTGCCAGAAGGACACATTCATAAAGGAGCTTTTTATAGGCAAAATATAATTGAAAAGGCATTTGCATGGGATGGCAAAATGTACGAATTGGAGACCATTCAATGCAATTTCTAAGACCTCTTGAATTGACATAACTCCTAACAACTCCAAAGCATCTTTGCTGGTTTCCTTGTTTTGTTTAATTTTTAGGTAAACAGAATATATTTCTTAACTTTGCATAGCTTCTTTCAATTGAACAGGCTTTAGAAAACCTGTGCTGTCACTGCTGGGTGGAGAGCAGAAACCTGTGGGCACACTGTAGGCAATGTAGAGTTAGGAGGGACAGATATTTTTGCAATGAGCAGCTCCTTGTACAAACCCAACTATGGATCTTCAGAGTTCCATCTCACCTTGCTCCCATCTATGCATATCTGCCCTCTGTAGCAGTAGTATCTGTACATACAATTACTTCCATGTGTGGGAACAGTTTATTTAAAGGGGAGCCCAACACATCTATGCAAAGGGTGCTTTGCTAAGGCCTCATCTGAAAGAGTTCAATACAATAAACTGGCAGGTATTTATTTCATCTGCCTTGCCCCAAAACAAGACAGGATTATGATGATCTTGGGTCCAAATCTTTAACTGTATGGAATATTTAAAACCTGAGGCATGGCTTCCTTGTCTTGCTGCCCCTGTTCTGTAAAATATGGGTCTATCAAACTTCTCACAGGGTAGGCCGTAGGACTTGTAATGAGGGGATGAATAGAAAGTGATCAATTTATGAACCATTCTCACAGCAAGACTGAGCAAGCAAGCAACGAATTTAAGGGCAAAAAGTGTTACCACTCCTGTTATGTGTATCTCACCATTTCCTATGAGAGGCGGCAAGGTCGGGGCTTTGGAAGGTGGAAGGGGGTTCAGTCTTGGAAGCATTCCATTAACTTGTTTCAACCTTTCTAATTTCACTTGCTCCATCCATTTGGTCCCTGTCATATTCCTCCTGGCCTGTAAGCCAAGTGCTGTGGTGGCTGTGGAAATGGTAGAGTCCATGATTGGGGTTTCATCGATGACACTGAGGTCTCCTACACTACCACCACCGGTCAGAGTAAGCTCGATCCCATTGTTGGAATAGTTGCTGATGGGGGACTGTTCGCTGCTGCATGTAGACTGACCACCAGGGCTTGGCTGAGATGTCTGTTGAAGTAAGAAACAAAAGCACGTGAGGGTTAAGCAAACAAAGCTAAGAAGAGCACTTGCAGCAAATGCAGGTCTAACTGGAGCCAAAGAAAACCAAATGTAAATTTTAGCATTAAACGGTAACAGTGATCATTCATTCAGAGTCTTTCTAGGTAGTGATTTTAACAGTAGTGAATGTCACTGCAAAACTTGAGATTAAAATTCAGTATTATCTTGCTGATACTATACATTATACCTACATGAGACATTTATTCAGTTATTTTCTTAATTACTTCTATCACTTCATGTCATTTATGTCTTGGATACTCTACTTTGGATATGCACTGTTCCCAGTTGAAGATGCAGCTCAATAAACCAAATTAGAATTCAGTTACAGAGTTTAATTTACACTGGTAGGGCTGCAACAAGCAAACAAACAAGACTCCAACAACACTGGAATTTGGGGGTTTTTAATTAGACTTGCGTCTAAAGAATGTAAGTATTTTCCAAGCTTAAGGCTCATTGTTAGGAGCAGTGGTTGGCCTGAAATGTTGGCATGTAATAAAACAGGGACAAAATACCAGTGCAAAACATACTGTATCATATTATGAGCATCCTGTGACAATAGCAGTACTAGGGTCTAACTTCTACCTCCTCTTATACCACCTTGCCCTGAACAAAGGTGGTGATAATCTACTGAATCAAATCCTTCATGTCACTAGAATCTAAGACTTCAAATTTAAGAATTTAAGTACACAGTACAGGCTGCTAATCTACAGGAATATAAACCCGCTGCAATAGCTTCTTCTTTCTTAATGCTGTGTTCCCTGCTGCTCTAGCGGAATTCTGGCTGTGGAGAAACAGGGACTTCATTTATTTTTCATAAAGTTCTCATGAAAGAATGGGAAAACTTCTCTGATAAACTGAAACACTCAGACAGATAGACCGACAGACAAAACAGGCAGCAACAGGGACAGAAGTCTCTCCATGTAATATGTTACTGTAAGTTGTATCAGTGTGATCACAGATCCGTGGGGCATGCAGTATCATTTTGCTCCCAAGAACAGTTTCACATAAGTATGTCAACTTTGGGGTTTCTTCTGTGTTTTTTTAGTATTTTTTAGATATTTGAATATTTTCAACTATTATTTTCTGTGATTTTAATGCACATTTTACTGACAAATGCTAGCTAGAATTTCTGAGGGAGCAGTGGGGGCTTTTGCTTTTAACATCACTGGATGAAGACACAGATTCATAGCACTACTGTAGCTTCATATGCCCCTGAGGAGTCCATTAAGATGCAGTAACTATTTTATTATTTCTAACTTGAATGATGATACTGAGAATTTATGAGGCCACACTGAGCAAGTTCATTTAGAAATCTTGGCCATGGCAAATCTGGTGACAAAAATAGAAGTAACAGTTATTATATGGAAGAGCATTTGTGCTTCTGGACAACAGTTTCATAACATATGGGAGAAGAGCAATAAAGGTCAGAAGCCTGTTCTTGTAGCCACTTGGCAAGATCACAGTGAGGTAGGTTACAGAAATAAGAACTGCATTATGGAGAGCACACATTCTAGATGTGTAATACAGAAAAAAAATGGATGTTTCATCTACAGGGGAAGGTACACAGGCATTTCTGAAGACACTTCACCAATATGAGCCAGATTTTTCACATGTCAAGTGTTGCAAAATGTTCACAGCACATTACAATTGGGAATGTGTTTGATGGATTGCACATTACTAAATGAAGGAATGATTAGACAACAGGCAGAAGGCTAAAATGAAGACATAAATAATGTTGCAATAGGAAAAATGGCAGAAAAGTTAAAATGCCCTCACCTTATTACCCACTGTCCTTAGGAAGTTAGAACAAGACATTTAAGAGCATTAGACAGAAAAGACATTGGATTAGTTGAAAAAACAGAAAATATATCTTAATTCATACAAGCAATGAAAAGCAGGAAATACAGAATTGTTTTCAGATGATATATTTCAGTGAGAAATATTTAATACTATGTAGCAATCAGCATTAATACCCCTCTCCTGCAAATGTTACTCCTGTTAAAACTGCCTATGCTCAACATGCCTCAATAATGCTACACGTTTACCTAGCTAAGCAAGAGGGGCATAGGTTTTGTTCTTTTGTAACCCAAGGTACATCAAAGACAGCAGAAGATCTTTACACTTCAGCAGGAGTTAACTACTCTGGGCTGCTGGAATTTTCTGAATTCAGGATTAAAACTCCACACTTTGGGATAAGCCTTAGGCACAACATAGCAGTAACTCATATTTCAATGAGTAATTGCTTTCAATTGCAGCATGATTAACAAAATGAGCAGAATTTGGAGTGCTCATATTTGTAGTCCCCAAGGGTTGGGTCCAGATGAACCACAGACCCAGACATGGAAGAGGATGGAGTAACTGCCTTTGATAGTTTCAATCTTTGTGGAGAGTATGGATGGCAAGTGGAATGCAGGCAAATGAAAGAAGAACTTTCTTTAAGATAAGATGTCAAACAATGGAGTAAGGTCCTTTCAACGTACAAGGCTTTACTGTTTTAATGCAGTATGTTAAGGTAAACCAAGAAAAAGACTTGCGGAGACTCTTTAACTCAACTCAAATTAGTTAAATTGGAATTAATTTGGTCAAGTTAAATTAAGTATCAGATGAACACCTCACCAGAGATCAAATGGTATCTAAAGATCTCCTGCTGCTTAAGAAAAGTCAGTTTATCCTGCCTTGGTCTGATCCAGGATCCAACAACGTCAAGCCCCCAGAATCTGGTTATTTCCCCAGGTTCTTCAAAAACTATCATCATCAAAATCACCATTTTAACCTTTCAGATTTGGTTATTTCTGTGTTCTAGCACTGAGCCTGCAGGATTCACATTCTCCAACTTTCTTCTGTAAACAGCAGAGTGGAAAAAAAGCACTTTTTCTAAAAATGAAAACTGATTTTCTCCTAACATGCTGATCCCCAAAGACGGAGCTTTAAGAGAAACAACTGTTGTGAGAGTTACTGCATACTGCACAGACTAGATGTCATCTTTTTATTTCCTATTTATCAGGCTTAAAAAAAACAACCTAAACAAAACAGAAAATGTCACAAAACCAAACCTTGTGAGCTACGGTTTATGGGCTTGAACATCTAACAGAGAAATCATTAACTGGTTGCAAGAAGAAAAAAGGACCAAGGGAGCGGCAGGGTGTATTGCATACCATTGGTTTTTCTGACTTGACCGCTTTCACTTGGAGGCATTCTTCACGCTTTGAGGTAGTGTTGCTGAGGTCCTTCTGCTCACCAATTGCACCCTGAGTCTGATGGCCTGGTGACCGGGTCTGGGAGTGGCTGCCTGGGTCTCTCGGTGGCGGAGGCCTTGGGTGGATATCTCCCCGTTGTTTCTTGGTGACGTGTGCCTCCGGACCATGCACGGTCTTCACATGTTTCCGGAGAGAACTGGGGTCTGTGTAGCGCTTTGTGCAGCCCGGTATCTTGCAGACATATGGTTTCTGCCAAGACAGGAAAAACACTTACATTAGATTCAATTCCATGTGGGACTCCTGAAGAGCTCCTTGGAGCACAGCTGGTGTTACAGTTATACACTTTCACAGTGAATTTATCTGATTTATGGTCTCTACAGTGACTGAATCATGTAATGGTTTGGGTTAGATCGGACCTTGAAGATCATCCAGTTCCAACCCCTGCCACAGGCAGGGACACCTTCCACTAGAGCAGGTTGCTCCAAGCCCCTGTGTCCAAGCTGGCCTTGAACACTGCCAGGGATGGGGCAGCCACAGCTTCTCTGGGTACCCTGTGCCAGCGCCTCAGCACCCTCACAGGGAAGAATTTCTTTCTTGTATCTAATCTATACCTACCTTCTTTCAGTTTAAAGCCATTAACCCTTGTCCTATCAAGTTATGTCTGCACCTAGTCAAACCTATTAATTCCTTTTGGTTTTGAAGGTACCCATTAATGCCACACAGTTCACAGAGAGCAATGCCTCTCATGGTATGAACTGGCACATCTTTTACTTAGAAGAGTCACAGAAGAGTCAAAAGAGCTATGGCAATTTATGAAGAGTGGCCTTATTTCTATCCTGTGCTTTGCTCTCAGCAGTTTGATACCCTGCTTTTAGTATACCCAGCACCTACTTCTTGACATTCAGACACAAACAAACCCCTTCAAAACATCTGGGACATTTGTTCAGGCAGGATTATCCAAAGAAGCACTTTTTCCCAGCTCCTTCAGATCACCAGTATAATGTCAAAGCACGGGATACAGTCCATAAACATTTCCATGTTGCAGCAATAAATGTACTAGTACTATTAGTGCTACTTGCATAGCTAATCACTTTAAAAAGAAACAAACCCTGCTTTCTGTGCATTTCTCTAGTTCACTAAGCAATGTAGAATAAAGTAAATTTACTGTCTTGTAATTTAACAAAGACTTTGTTCTTGGATTATGAGAACATTAGAAAGAAGAGTTGAGCCCTTCCTAAACATTTTAATTGCCTCAGAAACAAACTGTCATTTATTCACTTTTATTACTGATGTTTTCCCATATAACTACTATTATAAAGTCTTATTTATTCTAGCCCTCAAGAATCAAAAAAAAGAGGCCAATATGTGGAGTTCCTCAAAGAGGTTCTCTGTGTAAGCACATATGGCACCATGAAGCCTTTGACAAATGTACCTCCGTCAGGGCTATTTAAGGCCTGAGCCTGCCTCCACTGACATTAAACTCCTACTGACTTAAAAAGGAGCAAAAGTGTTGATCATGAGGAATTTAGAGTTGATGCTGAGCTACTGAGGCAGGCTTTACTAAGATGCTATGGAAGTACGAGTCACTTAGCTCTCTCCTACATGTATAAGGCACATCTGCACCAAGATATGTCACCTGCTTTTAAATCTGTCTATAGGTTGCCTACTTACAACCAAAATGGTACTGTAAGGAAGTGCTGAACTGGGTCTGCATGTTCCACAGTATCCATAGCACTCCATCGTTGCCTATCAGTCTGTTTCAGTGTGAAATAATGGTGTAGGAGATTTCTCAGCTGCCCTTGCTGCTGCACCTACGAGAAATGACACCCAGCAGGAAACTTTTCTTGGTGACTTACTGTTAGATGTGAAACCCTGATTTTAAAACACAAGCAGTACGGGTCACATCTTTAAGTTTGAGAGAATCTTACTCATCAGCTAGGCAACAAACAGTGGTTAAGATAGTGAGTGAACGAAAAGCTCAGTCAGCTATTGGCCACACTTGGTGAACTTCCTTCTACCTCGGTGACAATCCACAGAATTGCTGCTGGGCTTCAGTGCAGTTGTTAATTTGGGCTGCTGAGAGCCCACCCTGCAGGGACAGGGTGGACTCAGAGATGTGTAACGCTCTCTGCTTCCCTTGGGACTCAAGAGATGCTGAAGGGACCACGGCAGGAAGTTGGAACTTCATAGGAAGGGGCAGCACTACCAGGAAAGACACAGTAATAAACAGTTGTTATACTGAGAGTGTGGGCGATGGCTGTGACTGCCACAGCTGGACCGCTTGAAGAAAGATGAAATTCCCTTCACTGCGTCCCTACTCTGTGAGGTCTATTCACGATGGAAAGAAAGACTGAAATAGCCCAGAGAAGACAGATGGAAAAAGCATAGCTTAGAACTTAACAGGGCAACCCATACTGCCAAAGTGCTGAAGACTTCTCTCTAGTTTTCTGCAGCAGCCAAGAAGGGTGCTGGAAGAGGCTGTGGGAGCTGTGGCTCAGGAACTGCCAGTGTCTCCACTGACCAAGGGGACATGCTCCAGGCGAGCCCTCAGCTCCAGAGGGAAAAATGATCCCAGCTGTTCAGGGACACCAGGATCTGTCCTTGCTTAACGTGTGTGTTCCCATTACATCCTTCATTCAAACCTTTCATGCTTAATAAAATGACCAACAGCCCCTCAAGGTCCACAGGACACAGGGATGACTGTGCTGGCAAAAGCCATCTAGAACTATATCCTTTCAGGTTACTGAGGGTTTCTGTGCCTGTCCTCTGCAACAAATCCCTGTGACCACCTTGTAAGTCTGTTTGACACCACTCTTTTTGATTGTTTTTGAAGCTGTGCTTGCTTACCTCATTAGAATGAGTCCTATTTTGGTGCTTGGCCCTGTCGGATGCATTGGAGAAAGCTTTATTGCAGCCTTCATGTTCACACACATACGGTTTCTCTCCAGTGTGAGATCTCAAGTGCGTTTTCAAGTTTTCTAGTCTGGAGTAGGCCTTTGTACAACCTTCAAACTGCAGAAGAAGTAAGTCTGGATTAAGTTTCAACTTTGGACATGCATGAAACAGTAAAAGCTGACCTATAACGGTTCAGAAACTTTCCAAGCTTCCATAACCTTGCCCAATGTAATTTTGGTTTCATTTGTTGGATTTTAATTTTGCCCAGGCAAACCCCATCACAGCTCAAGTTAAAAAACGCTTCCAGCATTATATAAATCTGCTCTTACACACAGTACTTGTGCACTTCTGTCTAAGATAGGAATCTATTGCAAACTCAGTAGGACACCGGTGGCCAGCAATAATGCCCAGCTCTGTGAGAGAAAGTGCTTTTCAATACTTAAGCAAACTGTGCCCTGTGTAAAAATGTCTTCTAGGGCTTCTTTGCACTTTAAACTTGAGGAAGTGGGACAAATTATAGTGTGAATCCCACCTCCTACAGCTCATCATCTGCCTGAGCTGGATAATGAAGCAGACATGGAAGTTTCCTAGCAGACTAGGTAACTTCTCTAACAAATGTCCAGTGGACAAGGGATCAGGGAGTGTAGCATCTGTGCTGCTCTTTTCCCTGCATATCCCAGATCCTTCACCCAAGCCTGGAGCTCAGCCCCCTTTACTCACAGTGCATTTGTGTGGCTTTTCCCCTGTATGTCTCCGCATGTGGACCACCAGCATATACTGGGCTTTGAATGGTTTCTGCTCCCGGGAACAGTCCAGCCATCGGCACACAAACTCTTTCTTCTCACCGTGGATATGGTCATTGTTTATGTGCTGTTTGGGTAGAAGAGAGATTATGGCTTAAGAGAAAGGTAACTTCATCACCAGCTTTACTGTAACTTTGCAGAGGAACAACACCAGAGACTCAGGTGTGAACTGGGATCCTGCGGTACCGAACGAGCAAGAAGATTGTCTGTGCTTCAAAGTGATCACTGGGTTCAAATTACAGATCTCACTGAAAGGCCACTAAGGTGCATGAATTTGTTTCTACTGATGTCAACAAGCTTTGGATCAGGCCTCAGGGACACAGGCTCAAATGGAGCCTCAATAATCTCACAGCATCGTTCACATGATTCACATTCAGTAATGCTTTCTTGCATCCCTGGAAACATCTCTGCATTCCATTGCTTATGGCTACTGCCCCTGGCTCCATGGGGGATGAGGATGGTAAGCTCTGCAGTGCTCCTCAAAGAGTCATTCCTATAGGCTATCCAGCTGAAAAGGATATGACAGATGAGCTATGAAGCTGATTCCACCAGGAGCTGGCCTTGCAGCAGAGAACCTCCAGCACCGCTGCTCTTTCTGCCTCAGGGCCCTGTAAGTAACTAAAGCAGCTCCTCAAGGACTTCCTTTCAGATGCCTTTGGGCTGCCCTGGGCCACCTCTGCCAGGGGACACAGGAGGCTGCTCCCTTTTATCCTGTCCCGCGGCATTCTGAGTGCTGCATTGCTGGATGGTGGTTTGGAATGGAACGGAGGCATGGAACGGAGAGGTGTAGAATGGAACAGAATATAATAAAAATGGAACGGAATGGAATAGAGAGGAATAGAACAGACTTTCCCATTGCTGTACTTCCCACCACAGCTCGCTAGCTGTGCCACTAGATGGCTGCATTTCTCAGCAAATGCGATTATTTCCATTAAGATACTAGAGAAAATGCTTCCAGAGTCTGCGTCTGATCACAGCACAGGGATGAAATCTTTATCTACTCCATAAGTAGCTCACAGAAAAAGCCAGTCATACATAAACTCAGTAGTTCATAATGGAACACAAAGAAGATAATCCCCATCTTTTCTCAAGTCCTGAAAACAATCAGAAAACCATATAGAATCACTTATGTTCAGCATTCTGCAGCATCGCCATGGCAAACAGATGTGCAGTGCCTATAAAAGATGACTGCTCTTTTTCTCTTTCTGAAACTTTATTGCCATTTCTTAAAAGTTGTGATGGGGCACAGAGTGTAAGAACAGAGCAGATGAGCTGGACAACGTACAACATGTAATCTGCAGGAGTTTCAAGTGCAGATCTCTTGCCCATTTGTACTACACATGCCTGTACAGAAATGTACAGATGCCTTGTGCTCTAATGGCATAAGAAAAGTACAATGAGATCACTCTGCACTCTTCTTTCCTGAAAGAAAAGAAAAAGTAATGGGACAAAACTCATTGCATTTGAGTAATTCTTGGTCAAATCCTTGTGTAAACATTACAGACTGTGAGTTATTTGTGAAATCTCCACAGCCACGAAGGAAATGACAACTGAATGTGTGACACAGGCATTCCACTTGTTACAAAAACTTCAGGGCTGGTTCCATCAGCTCACAACAGAACCTCCGTTTACCTCCTGCTGTGTGGGCACTCAGGCACTATGGATGCTCTTCCAGAGAATTTCTCCATAGGATTCTTTTTCTCTCTGTCCCTGCAAATGAGCTTGCTCCTGCCCTCCAGGCCTCTAGCCTATACTAGCATGAGCATCCTCTAAAACTGGCCTTTCTCATGGGCATAAAACTCTGTTCCTTCCTCCCGCTCCAGCCCAGACCCCCTGCAAAGGCTTGACAAAGCTTGCCCAGGATGGTGACTTGTCATTCCCTTTTCTCCATCACTCCTCTCTCTGGCTCACTTGTCAAGCATCTCATGATCACCCTCAGGTCACTGCACAACTGTATCCCTCCATACTCACCTGCCCTGCACTCTCATTCTGTCACTCCTTTCCTACTCCCTCTGCTCTTTCTACAATCAAACCCCTCTTTGTGCCATTTTCCCTCATTTCTCTGACCCTCCCAGTGGCCTCTGAGAGCTCACCTGCAAAGCCATCTCATTCTCAGTTGACCCCTCTGAGTAAAAAGCTAGAAGAAACAAGCCCATGGCACCATCTGCTGATCTGGGTAACTTCTTTAGCTCTCGGGTGAACTGCTCATTTGGTTTTTGCACAGGGGTGATATTTCAGCAGACCTGTAAATATGTCCAAATACTGGAAGGCTGCTCTGGCAGAAGACACTCACTAGACATTAAATCAGCACAAATAAGAAGCCAACAGTAGAAACCAGTGCTCTCAGGCAACGAGATTCACAGCATTTCTAATCCTGACCACAGAGGGCCAGATTCAAACACCCTCTGCTGCTCAAGCTATGATTTGAAAACTGATCAGTCATCTGCTACGGACACATAGAACTACACCAGTATGAAACAGGAACTAAATCTACATCAGGATTTCTTTATCATTATCAAAATGATGGACTAGCGTGCAGTATTTGCAACATGTTTAAAGGAAGAGGGAGGTCTCACTGTGCAAACAACGGCAATTAGAGAGGTTCAGAAGTTTGTGAACTCTGGCATTCAGGTTCTTTGACTCAGATAATTACCTTTGGATTTTGCACGGTGTTTTTGGCTCCCTGGTCTCTATTATGAGAGGGAATGAATAGTTCTGAGCTTGTAAAACAAAGAACAGTCAGGAATAAGAGTATTATGCAAAGCAGAAGCTTTGGTACAGTACAATAAGGATTTATAGGGTTTCAATTTATAATCTGTTTGTAACCTTATTACACCCATGAAATGTCACATTCCAGGGACTAGATCAGAAGGATTTTTTTTTTCCTGGTGAAATTGAATTTTGATGCAGTTTCAGGGTGTGAAAAGGCAAACCTGCAAGTTTTACTTACGTTGGTAATCCTTATTACAGTAAATAGGCGCATGAAAGCCAATGATATTACTCCCCAGTGTCAGGTTTGCTAACATAAGGCTCTGAAGCACCAGCTCTGTATTATTAAGTACTTCTGACCTGAAAAAAAGCCTCCATTAAAAGCTGGAATTCTACTAGCTATCTCCCATTGCACATAGCTCCAAAAAGCTGCTAAACAGGGGTCATTTGCAGAATACCAGTCACTTCCATGCCACTCCAATGCTTATTACCAAACCTCAGTCTGCCCTTGCTTGTTTTCTTTTCTTGAAAAATGTTGCTATTACCCTTCAGCTCCAAAATACCCTAAAATGAACAGAGGGAGCTGACCTAAATACTGATTTTGGTCTCAGAATGCCCTGGCTTTCAAGCAGGAAGTTTTGCAATGGAGTTCAATTCTAGAGAATAAAAGCCACCAAATTAATTGAAATCGAAGCTGAAGTTGACCTGTCATCTATACTGGAGAAGCTCAAAAACCAGAGGTAACAAGGAGCACAAACTGCAGCTTCCTGGGAGCATAAACGCTTACATGGTAAGAAATACTACTAATACACTAAATTGCAATGGTAAGAAATACTATTAAAGAAGGGAACACCTTAAATCCTACATGTTCTCATATAATCAACACGCACCGTACACGCTACTCCAAATTGCAGCACATGATGCGAGGTGACACTGGAGGTAGGATCTGCAATAATCTCAGCGTTCTATTTCCTTCCTCCATGAGTTTTTATGAAAGAAGTATCTAAGCATATCCTAGCTGACTGCCTGGTACCCAGTAGATATTCAATATATAACCAAAGGCCAAATATGCTCCCACAGTAGTCAAACAGCAGGAAGAAAGCCTCTTCATACCAGTGGAATGAATTTGGAACAGCAGAAAAAGGATGACTGTCACCCGCAACTGAAATTGCATCTGAAAGCAAAGTGTTATTTGGTGGATAAAGCAGAAAACATCAGGAAAATCTTCTGATCCTCCTTTCTAGACACACTGTCCCTAGTGTATGGTAAGAGAAAACTGGGAAGAGACTATGCTGTATCGGTATAATGTGATAAGTTAGTGGCACAGCGGAAGGCATGTCACCATTGCCGAAAATTGGTTTAATTTCTATTGTACAATGACAATTCCAGACTTCTATCTTCTCACAGTTATCTCCCTGCATTTTATGGATTTAAAAAGGAGATGCTAAATAACTTCTCACTAAATTTCACTACTGACACCAAGCAAAAGTAGCATTTAAGCCATCTTGTAGCACAAATCTCCTCCTGGACTGTACTGCTACAGAAGTCCCTCAAACCAGCAGAGCCACAGCATTTGCTCCACAGGAGAGGAAGCACAAACAGCACAGGCACCACAATGGAACGGCTGCTAAACACAGCTCATCTCCCAGCTGCGCAAGGGAGTCACAGAGCCTGCGGGCTGCAGAGAGGAAACATGCATAGATTGTGTCTGGCCCTAACAGACTGGATAGCTCTGAGGCTGGTTTGGAAGGGGATTAGCTGTCCCTGACCTGTAAGTCCTGCAGGAAACACTCTTATTTATGTGTTTTCCACAGGGGATGTACATTTGTCCTTAAGCCCGCATTCAGTTAGAAATAGGAGGAGGGTTCTTGGTCATTAGACCCATCCCTTGCAGTGGCGAGCCTCGCTACACATAATCCGTCAAGGAGCAAGCTTTGTCTTCTAAGTACATCGGTGATCTGCTCCCAGTGGAAGGATCTTCTAGGAACTCACTCCTCTGCTGGTTAGCAACTAATTTCTAGCTTCGATTTATTCTCAGCCAATTCATATTCATTTGTTCTTCTGCCAACAATATCCAACAGCTTAAACAGCTCTGTTTCCCTGCATGGTGTTTATTTGTCTCCCTCCCCAACTAACTCACATACATCACTACTCTGCCTTCATTTGCTGGATTAACCAAACTGGTTCATTCTGGTCTTCTCTAGGATGAACAAGTCCTCATTCCCCCATCTTCCCCTGCTTTGACTTGAGGTGTGTAAGTTCCTGTGTCCTGCCTGTCAGTGGCAGGACAGTGGTCCTCTCAGACCTCCTCTTCACATGGTCTAGTACGACCTCAACCTTCTTAACCACGATAGTGTG